TAAATTTTTTTATATGCCTAAAGTTAGTGTAGAATCAAAATTTGGTTTGATTTAGGCTTCGATTCAAATGGTTCAAATTAATCATGCAGGATACCTTTTTTAATTGAAGCAAACTAAATCATGCAACTCTAGCTGGCTGGTCAATACTTGTTTCAGTTGACCCATCTAGTTGATCCAAGATTTCTTAAAATTGCTTTTTATTTATTTATTTATTTTTTCTTTCTTGTGAAAGAACTCTTTACAAAAGAATTAAACCTGCTACTAATAGTTTTTCTACCACAAGTCTGCTCCATTTCTTTTATTTAAGGCTCTCTATCTAATACAACAACCCTATGGTAGTTTTTAAAAGCTTTTAGAGTTCAAATAAATTATAACTATATTTTATGTATTAATGTTTTGGTGTTAGAGATTTCTTCTCTCAATCTTAAGAGAGAAAAGAGAAACATTTTCCACTTACTTGTTTTCACAAGGGGATTCTTTCAAAGAAGTGGTTGGGCCTTTGAGGCTAGTATTTGACTAGTAGAGTTACTGTGTCGACTTCAAATCTATTTTCATTTTCATGTTTTCTTAATTTTTTTGGGCGTTGGCTTTACTGGGCAGTGCATAGATCTAATTATTTTCATTTGATTAGGTCACTATATGGTGGGTTTAGATTAGTCTTGATGGTCAAATTTTGTTTTATGGAATCTTTGTCCTAGTAGAAGTAGTAGGACTACAGCAGGCAATGTGTGTGTGTGTATATATATATATATATATATATATATATTTTTTTTTTTCCTTCTTCTTTAGTTGAATTAAAGTTGAGGGAATGTGATGCTCTGCTAATTTCTGTTTTCGAGTTAAAGGGTTGAGTGTAAAGGAATTCTCCGTGAGATTCCTAGTTTCGTCTTCTTCTTTCCCTTTCACCTTTAATTTAATACTTAAAACAATGATATTGAAAGTACAAAGAATTTTTCCCTAATTGTAGAGAGAGAAACTTTACACTCCCAATGATTTTTCCAACCCCTTTTCCCTTTCAATCCCTTCTATTTATAGACGGTTACAACCTCCACTGAGCTAATCCTATCTTGTTCTCCTTTGGCTGGACTTGATATCTCTCATTTCATCATGGGCTTCTGAAATGGCTTTATGGACCTGGGCCCATACGGCGCGAATTGGCTTCATCCCGTTCGTCCACACCTGACCCATCCTATGCAATGTGGATCACTCCAAATCCGGGTCGTTTTGGTATCCTCATCTGCCCTTAATAATCTCTTTCCTCATTAATGAGGGTGAGATTATTGAAAGGACACGATCTTGGTCTGACGGCTTGGAGCAATAACTCGAGGAATTGAACGGCTGGTGCAAGAACCCAGGTTTCGAGATCTGCAGCGCCACTTTTTGCCTTGACCTTTGGAGTTCCATGTCGCTTTTACTTCTCCTCTTTATAAATTCTGATCTTTCTCTCCTTCACCCTCTCTCTTACCTCTTGCTTCTACTCCCTGTTGCTTTCCTGCACATTCCGGTGATCCTTTTTAATTTCTCCGGCAAGTTCTTCCGGCAAGTCCTTCCTATTCGATTTTTAGCTACTGTGCCGTTGCTGAGTTCATCAAAAACTTTCAAGGTTAGTTTCTTTTTTAAAAAACCTCTCCTTAAGAGACGCCTTTACTGCCTAGAACTCTTCCCCTTGTTCATGGCTTCCCCTAACCTGAACGCCATTCGATCCAAGAATTGTATCCCTCGCGACGTTTCTCTCAGAGTCTACCCAACAAACTTAGACGAGAGATCTGGTGAGGGTCTTCTTCCTGGGGAAGTTTTATTCTCTGCCGTTCACTTGAACGTCATTAGGTTCCCCGTACACTCATTCTTTTGTTATGCTTTTAACAAATTGGGGCTCTGCCCCCTGCAAGTTAACCCAAACTTTCTTAGGGTAATTTCAGTCCTCCTGCTCTTGAATCGTGACAGGGGTCTCAATCTTGACATTATTGACCTTTTCCTCTGCTATCGGATTAACAAGATTTCACAAAACGACTTGTACTATCACTTCTTTCCTATTGACAAACGGTCAATCTGCACTGATAAAAGCTCATTTGAAAAGGGTTGGAGGCGGAATTTAATTGTGGTTGGTGGGAATTGGCGGACTCCGCTCGGCCATTCCTTCCCTATCCCTTCTTCCTTTGGAGCCTGTTCTGTCTCTGGCTACAAAAAGCTAAAAACACATCCTTCTGAATGCCACTGTGAAAGTTGTCTTCCCCGTTTTTGCACTTTTCTTTGTAGATGCCTTCAAATTCCCCATGATGAACTAGTTTATAGCGTCTGCAGGGCTAGGCTAGATACATTGCAAGAAAACGTGCTAAACGATGTTCCTTCAGCTACTGATTTGCTTACATCTGATAATCTTTCTGACATCTCTCTTTTAGGGTCCACAATGGAGAACATTCAGATCCCATCGTTCAGCAGGAGGAGGAGTCTTGCTCCCACCTCTTCTAACGCTCCTGCCGTTATTCCATCACCTACACCTGCTTCTACATCATCTCTTCCTACTGTCTCTGCCCTAGAGCAAGTTGTGGTTGCCCTAGCTGCAACTCAAGTCTCAACCTGTTCTGCTGATGCGCCCTTAGAGCTCACCCATGCTGAGAACCCTGTTGTGGGCCATGCTGCTGAAGTCCGTCCTGCTGTCCCCGTCATTATGCCATCAAACATTTCGTCCGACACTTCTTCAGAAAGCACTCAGGATGCTGGAAATTCTGAGGACAATGGGGGGCCAGCTAATGCTGTTCTGTTGGAAAAGAGTTTGGGAAAAAGGCCAATGCCTGAGGGCGGTCATGATCAGAGTGATATCCCACCGACCCGAAGGATAAGGATGGCTTCCTTCAGGGTTACTGAACCATCGCCCCCTGCTCGGTTCTTCATTCCTGAAGGCGAGTCGGTCAGAACCTCTGGTCCAATTCCATCCGTTCTTCCATGGCGACCTTTACTCAGCCGTGAAGATGGATCAACCATTGGCCCCACTGACTCAATATATAAAGACCCCCTCACTTCGTTTGCTTTCTATAAGGGCTTCTGGACCCCCAAAGACCTTGAAATCCAGAACAAACTGTCCTTTGGTGAGATGTTCCAACGGTTCCCGACCGCTGCTATGGAGGTGACCCTTCTTCCACTGAACTGTGTTCCTTTTCAATTATGATTCCTTTGTACGTAGTTTGACCTGAATTTCTTTTTCTTCATGCAGACTCTGTTCGGGATGTTCACCTTTCATAAAACAATTGAAACTCTGAATAAAAAACTTAAGTCTCTCTCTGTGGGCCTTAAAAGGTCTGTTGAAGCAGAGAATCTTCTTGAGGCCAGAGTTGCTGAGCTGGAGTCAAAGCTTAGGGACTCAGAGAACGAAGTTGCTGACCTAAAGGCAGAGAAAGACGATCTGGCAAACGAGAGGGATTCCCTCAGAGCTGAACGGGATTCCCTGAAGACCGAACGGGATTCTCTTTATGATGAGGCTGACGTCTTAAAAACTGAGAAGAGTGTAGCTATGATAAAAATGGACTCTCTCAAAGCCGAAAAGGGAGACCTTCAGCGCTCATTCATTGCTGAACGGTTATCGTACGCGAATTCCCAAGAAAAACTTCTGAATGAACGGTCTTCCCTGATGAACATGATCAGCAGAGTCGAAGGGGGTATGAGAGCTCTCCTTGCTCGCTTTACCAGGACAAGCGCCATCCGATATGCTGAAGGGTACAGAGACGGTTATGTTGACCGTTCTCCCCCTGAAGGTGAATCAAGTTCTTGCGCAGGTCCTGATGAACTAGACGCTTCTCTGGACATCCACCCCCCAAACAATTATCAAAATCCACCATGCGACCCAATCGAGAACATTTTTATTGAATGCATAGAGGTCACATCTTCAGGAATTGTCCCACCCTTTCATCCTCTGAACATTCTTCCCCTTTCTACCATCGTGCCCTCTTCCTCTGTTGCTGCCGAAAGACCTATGCCTGCTGAGGGGGTGATTCATCTCGACTCCCCTTCTAAGGATGATAGGGCAGATGGGAATGGAGATCTCGATGGTCCAGAGGAAGATGGTGGCGAGAATGATAAGCTACAGTCTGGAGAAGATCAGAATTGAAACCCAATAGTAGTTTTTTTTTTTTTTTTTTTTTAAATCTGCATGTATGGTACTATGTACCTTGGGGCCTTTTTGGCTATAAATGATAATGTCTTTGCTCAGCATCACTTTCCTCCATTGAGTTTTCTATTTTCAGCTTTGCAGTGTATTTTTACAAGTGTTTAACGTTCGGCCATGTCACCATTCTGTCCTTTTCTTACTCATTTCTGAGCAAGTGTTTGGCGTTCGGCTTTAAGTGCCAGCTGCCACTAACTCGCTGAATACCTGGCGCTCGGCCTGAACGCCTCTTGCCACTTGGCTTTTTCATTTTTCGAGCAAGTGTTTGGCGTTCGGCTTTAAGTGCCAGCTGCCACTAACTCGCTGAATGCCTGGCGCTCGGCCTGAACGCCTCTTACCACTTGGCTTTTTCATTTTTCGAGCAAGTATTTGGCGTTCGGCTTTAAGTGCCAGCTGCCACTAACTCGCTGAATGCCTGGCGCTCGGCCTGAACGCCTCTTGCCACTTAGCTTTTTTCATTTTTCGAGCAAGTGTTTGGCGTTCGGCTTTAAGTGCCAGCTGCCACTAACTCGCTGAACGCCTGGCGCTTGGCCTGAACGCCTCTTGCCACTTGGCTTTTTCATTTTTCGAGCAAGTGTTTGGCGTTTGGCTTTAAGTGCCAGCTGCCACTAACTCGCTGAATGCCTGGCGCTCGGCCTGAACGCCTCTTGCCACTTGGCTTTTTTCATTTTTCGAGCACGTGTTTGGCGTTCGGCTTTAAGTGCCAGCTGCCACTAACTTGCTGAATGGGAAGAGTGTAAATTTTTAACAAAGAAGATACTTTTTATAAAGCATGGAAATTTCGTACACTTGCAAGCATGCAATTTAGAACGTACAATATGCTTGAAATTAAACTCTACTTTTACTGGTAGTACCTTTTCAGAGACGTAGCATTCCATGGCTTATTGACTACCCTTCCTGTCATCGTTTCTAGGATGTATGCCCCCTTCCCTATGACTTCTGCTATTCTGTACGGACCTTCCCATAGGGAGAACATTTTTTTGACTATTCCCACCTTCCTTTTCAGAACCAGATCGCCAAGAGCAAAACCCTTGTGCCTCACCTTCTTGTTATGGCTATTCACAAGCGTCTGTTGATAAGAGCCAAGCCTCACTGCAGCCACATCCCTTTTTTCTTCCAACAAATCAAGATTGAACCTCAGCATTCTATCATTTTGCTCTTGATCCCACGCCAAACTCCTTACAGTTGGAACCAAATGCTCGACTGGTATCACCGCCTCGGTGCCATAGGCCATAGCGAATGGGCTCTCTCCAGTTGGCTGTCTTGGGGTTGTTCTGTAAGCCCACAAGACGTTCGGTAGCTCATCTAACCATTTGCCTTTTTCATTCTCCAGCTTTTTCTTGATACAAGCAAATATTGTCCTGTTCGTGATTTTGGCTTGACCATTAGCCTGGGGATGACTGACTGCTGCTAACTTCTGATTGATTCCATATTCCTCTAGCAGCTCTCTCACTTGCTTGCTATTGAGGTTGGTTCCATTGTCCATCACGATTGACCTTGGTACGCCAAAACGACAGATAATATTATTCCAGATGAAGTGTCTTACTTGAGTTTGGGTGACACTAGGGTACGGCTCTGCTTCTACCCATTTGGTGAAGTAATCAGTAGCTAGCAGAACGTACTTATTTTGCGATCTTGCAGTCGGCAAAGGGCCAACCACGTCCATCCCCCACTGCGCGAAAGGCCATGGGGTGGCCATTACGTGCAGGTCTTCAGGTGGTTGATGTATCAATGACCCGAACCTCTGGCATTTATCGCATCTTCTAGAGAATTCTTCTGCATCTCGTGCCATGTGTGGCCAGAAGTACCCCTGTGTCATTGCTTTGTGTGCTAAAGATCTTCCTCCGGAGTGATTTCCGCATACTCCCTCATGAATGGTTCGCATAATCTGTCTAGCTTCTGTAGGGGTAGCACACTTCAAATATGGACCCGAGAAGGAGCGTCTATATAACTGATCGTGCACAATGGCATACTTTGCTGCGCTGGACCTAATTCTTCTTGCCTCGTCCTTACGCTCGGGGAGTGTACCACTACGTATGTAAGCTATGATTGGATCAATCCAGCTCGGCTCATATGGTATAACATTAACATGTTGAGTGCTCGGATTAGGCAGTTCTTCAAAAATGGAAGGTTGGATCAATATGTCGATCGGGATGACCCTAGCTAAAGTATCTCCAAAACTGGATACACTACAAGCCAAGCGGTCAGCATCTTCGTTATACTCTCTCGGCAATTGGATAAACCTAATCTGATCAAAGGCTTTCGCCTCACGCAGAACCGTAGTTCGGTATGCTTCCATAGTCTTATCCTTGGCCCCATAGTCCCCATTGACTTGTCGAATGACTAGTTGTGAATTTCTATAAGCCATTAGATTCTTGATCTTCAATTCTTTAGCCAACTTCAGCCCAGCTATCAACGCCTCGTATTCTGCCTCATTGTTGGTCGCGCTGAACTCTAGTCTTATCGCTTGGCTCAGCGTGGTCCCTTCTGGTGTTTGCAATTGAATTCCAATTCCGGCCCCCATTTGATTCGAGGAGCCGTCCACGAAAAGCTTCCACCAGGAACAATTACAATCCTCCACCGTATCTTCAGCATCACAGTCAAGTAGGAAATCCGCCACCGCTTGACCTTTGATTGCCAACTTGGGCTCGTACGCGATATCAAATGAACTCAATTCAATGGCCCACTTGGTCATTCTCCCCGACAGGTCCAGTTTGTGCAGGATCATTCTCAAAGGGAAAGTTTTTAAAACGACGATTGGATGAGATTCAAAATAGTGTCTAAGCTTCCTTTTTGCGTTGACCAGCGACAAGATCATTCGTTCGGCCCTAGAGTACCTTCTCTCCGGTTCAGACATCGTCTTGCTAACATAAAACACCAGGAACTGCTTGCCCTCTTTGCAACGGATTAGAACGGCACTGGTTGCTAAACTGGACACCTCGAGATATAGAAAAAGTTTCTCATTCGGTTCTGGAGCAGACAGAACCGGAGGATTACACATGTACTCCTTCAGGCTGGTTAGTGCCTGCCGTTGCTCATCCCCCCAGGTTTGTCTTCCATGCCCTCGTATTGTATCAAAGAAAGGTTTATAGCGGTTCGAAAGCTTGGAAATAAATCGGCTTAGTGCGGCTATCTTGCCTGTGAGTGCCTGCACCTCTTTAATTGTCTTTGGCTCTGCATTGCTGATCAAGGCTTCTGCCTGTGCTGGGCTGACCTCAATTCCTCGATGATTGACCACATGTCCCAGGAATTGACCGGAGCTTACACCGAATGAGCATTTGGCCGGATTAAGTTTCATCCCATACTGGCGCAACACATCGACACATCTTGCAGGTGCGCTAAATGATCGCCCTTCTTCTTACTCTTGACCACCATATCATCAATGTAAGCCTCGACAGTGCTGCCCATCTGGCCCTTAAAAATCTTGCTGATCAGCCTCTGATAAGTAGCTCCAGCGTTTTTTAATCCGAATGGCATGACTTTATAACAATAAGTCCCTCGTTCAGTAACAAATGAAGTCTTCTCTTCATCAACTGGATCCATAGGAATTTGGTTATAACCGGAATAAGCATCCAGGAAAGTTAACCGCTCATATCCTGTGGTGGCATCTACCATTTGATCAATCCTGGGCAATGGGAAACTATCCTTTGGGCAGGCTTTGTTTAGGTTGGTGAAGTCGATGCACACTCTCTATTTCCCATTCTTCTTCTGCACTACAACAACGTTAGAGAGCCAGGCCGGGTACTGAACTTCTCTGATGAATCCGGCTTCAAGCAGCCGATCAACCTCCTCAGCTATAATCTGGTTTCGTTATGGAGCAAATCTTCTCTGCTTCTGTTTTACTGGCTTTGCATTCGGATCCACATTGAGGGAATGGCAGGATACAACAGGATTTATCCCTGGCATATCTGAATGGCTCCATGGGAATACATCCGCATTCCGAATCAGGAAATTAGTCAACTTTAGTCTCTCTTCTTCAGTGAGTTTGGTGCCCACCCTTGTTGTTCGGTCTGGTTTCTCATGATCAATCTTTACTTCATTAAGGGGTTCTGTGGTCAGAACTGGTGGCTCCTCCCCCCATCCTAGCTGGGAGAAGGGTTCTGTAATTGCTATTTTGGAATGGCGGAATGGATGGGATTTTTCCCTTTTCCAGCAGATTTCAAAGTTACTGAATAACATTCTTTAGTTGCAACCTGGTCCCCGTGTATATCTATCACCTTGGTCCCATCCGGACCCAAACATCGCATCACTTGATGTAAGGTTGACGGGAATTATGTGAATCCATCCTCTACCCATCAAGAGGTTGTATGATGGATAAATTTCCACTACAACGAAACTTTCAGTCAAAACCCGTTCAGCGGCTTGTACTGTCAATTCCACTATTCCAATGGGTTCCACTCGCTTCCCATCAAATCTGAGCAACGGATTCCCTGTGGGTTTGAGTTTTTCGGGTTCGATCTCCAGTCGGTCGAACGTCACCCTGGGCATGACATTCGCACTACTTCCTGGATTAATCAGGACTCTCCGAACCGGGCATTCTGCAATCGTCAGACTGACGACTAGTGGATCTTCATGAGGAATCTGAACGCGTAGCAGGTCCGTTTTATCAAACTTTATCGATGTGGACGCGTTCTGCTGGTGCAAAGCATGCACACTACCAATTTTTCTTTTCAGCTGGGCCTGGCGTAACCTCGTTCTGAGCAACTCTTCTGACTCCGTCGTTTGTTCAGGTCGGCCATAAATTGCGTTTATAATCCGGATGGGCTGAGAGTTGTGTTGGTTCGGCCTCTGGTTCCGCCTGATTTGTTCAGTCGGGTGGTTATGCTCTTGCGCCGGACCCTGAACATAGCTTGCAAACTCCCCCTTTGCGATCAGCATCTCTACTTGCCTCCTTAGGTTCCTGCATTCGTTAGTCTGATGCCCAAAATCACTATGGAAAGCGCAATGTTTAGTCTGATCCCTCTATTTAAGAGGTTGCCTGATTGGCAGAGGAGGACGAAACTTATCTTTGTTCTCTTGGTATAGCCTTGCTAAGGTGACTTTGAGTGGAGTAACTGATTCCTCCTCCCTGGGCCTCTTCTCCGCCTTCCATGAGGGGTGACGTTGCGGTTGAGCTTGTTTTTGCGGGATCTTAGCTTTGGACTTCTCCTCCGTCGAAATAATTGACGTCTTCCTTGAGTTAGCTGCTTCTTCCTCCTTAAGGCGAACAAAACCATCAGTTCTCTCGTTCAGCTCGTCCATCGTCCTCGACGTATTAACCACCAAGCTGGTGTGGAACGGCGTCCCCCGGTTCATTGCGAGTTTAAATGCTTGAACTGCTGTTGACGGGTGACACTCCATTACCATGCTTTTAACGAGGTTGAACCGGGTGAGAAAAGCTTGGAGCCGCTCGTCCTCATGCTGCTTCATTGTGAAAAGGCTCGATACATCCTTAGCCGGACGCTTATTCCCGTAATACTGGCTTATGAACTTATCGCATAAGTCCTGGAAACTGGCGATTGAGCCTTGAGCCAGATTCTTGAACCAATTGAGAGCTGGTCCAGCCAAGCTCGTAGGGAAACACTTGCACATCAAAGGATCATTATTAGTATTCAAAGCCATTTTCAACTGAATATGGTATATGTGATCGACCGGATCGGTTGTTCCGTCAAACAGAATGAAGACCGGCATGGAAAACTTCTTCGGATTCGGCGCGTTCAGAATTTCATCAGTGAACGGTGATGCGACTGTCCTTGCTGAGGAACGCAATGCTTCGTTTTCTCTTGAAAACCGTGGCGGAAATCCTCGATCGGCAGATCTCCTTTCTGAGCTATGGTAATCAACCGTCGCTAATGAAGGTCGGTATGGCGGATCGAACGACCTATCCTCCGTAAATTCACTCAGCCATGGTGACGCAATCCTATGTTCATATGCCGGTGCTTCCTCCCTCATAATCCGTTTGTGATGCGGTTCCAGACGAACAGATCCTTCCCGATCCTCTACTCGGCCGACATTCGGAGGCAGATTACCGATTATACCTTCATCACGACGTGGACCACCACGATTGACGTCTTCTGGATCACCTTGACGATCAGCTTCGGACGGTAAAGCTCCCTCTCCTTCAGGAGGCGGCCTCGAAATTGCAGGAGCCTCTCGATGCTTCATTCCAGCTCGTAGCTCTGCATTTTCTTTCCTCAAAGCATCGATCATGTTCATTAGTTCAACGAGCTTTGTCTGCTAGCCGTTCTCCAAAGAATTCGAGTTCGCCTCTCCGATCATCATTCCAGATCGGAGCAAAGTCATCAACTGCAGGCTTCTTGATCAAATCGGAGTTCCGCTAACGCGCGCACACCAGATCTGAACTTACACTTGCCGAATTTAATCCACTACTGGCCGGATTCAGTAACCACAACAGATCACGACCGCGCAGTTCGCCGGATCAAGCACGGATCTGATCTGCTTGGATCGGACGCCAATTTTCCGAAATCAACCGAAACCTGGACTCGTCAAGACAAATCGTACTATTACCAATGTTGATTCAGCTTTCGCAGATTAGTCGTCTTCCTCGCAGAATGCGTTGAATCGATCCGATCTGGAATGATATCAATCAATCCTTCTTGTTCTTCCCACAGACGGCGCCAATTGAAAGTACAAAGAATTTTTCCCTAATTGTAGAGAGAGAAACTTTACACTCCCAATGTTTTTTCCAACCCCTTTTCCCTCTCAATCCCTTCTATTTATAGACGGTTACAACCTCCACTAAGCTGATCCTATCTTGTTCTCCTTTGGCTGGACTCGATTTCTCTCATTTCATCATGGGCTTCTGAAATGGCTTTATGGACCTGGGCCCATACGGCGCGAACTGGCTTCATCCCGTTCGTCCACACCCGACCCATCCTATGCAATGTGGATCACTCCAAACTCGGGTCGTTTTGGTATCCTCAGATATATTAACCTTCAAAAAAGACTAAAAGAAAAAATGAAAAGAACAAGAAGAAGTATATGCTGTTTAATACATCTGGCAACTATATATTTTAGTCCCAACCGTTAAACTTTCTATTCCAAGCAATTTGTAACCCCTTTTGATTAACAAGCCATACAACTTTTGTTTTTACCTTTTTCTTACCTTAACCTGAGCGGCTAAGCCTATGATTAATTTTCTTAGGCTGCACTATTTGGTGTGTAATAGTTCTGTTCTATGTCAACATTGTTTCTTGTTTTGCATCGGTCTGTCATCAAGTCTTTTTACCCTTTTTTTTTTTTTTTAAGTTCCTTTTTCTTTAGAATTTCACTAAATTTTTAATTATTTTCGATGCAGAAATTGGAATATTTTCCGAACTATTGGACGACATCCTACCACATCTCTGAAGGTATCTATCACTGAGATTTATTTAATTTCAATTCAACATTGACAAAGAAGTTCTCTTTATCTAATATATATAGTTTTTGTGGAACTATTTTATTCCAAGATATCTACCATTGTTTGATGTAGTTTACCGGAGTATCTAAAGCATGAATGTTATTAATTGATTTTGGAATTCTATTTTATTTTTTAGAGTTCAATTGGATGTATCGTGTTATTCCATTTTCTTCATGATTATGAATTTCTTGTATGTTAACCTCTTTCATATACAGGTTGTAATACCCCATATTTTAAAGGCTTTAGTTTTAATTAAATTAATTAATTAATTTGATTTATTTGTCTATTTGGTTTATTTGAATTGTTTAGTCGTTTGAATGTTTGGTTGAATTGGTTATTTTAATTGTTGATTTATTTAAATTGTTGATTTGTAAATTGTTTAATTGTCTATGTGCAAATTGTCTAATTAATTGTGTTGGTAATTTAATTGTTTAATTTGTTTGGTTAATTTATTTATTTCAAAGTATTAGATTGGGTTTAGGATATTGGGCTAAAGGAATTGGGCCTTGGACTGTTGAAGAAGGTCTTGATGAGTTAAGGCCTAGATGGTATAGGATGGGAAGGGCAGTGTATATGTTTTGTATTTTCATTGTTTAACTTGTTTGGTTAATTTGTTTGTCTTAATGTAATTATTTTAATTGTGTTATATATATATATATATATGTATGTATATACACACACGTTTTGTATGTGTTATAATATTTACATTATTATGATTATTATTATTTGTATTTGTTGTCTGACTACTGTAGGATTGGGACTAGGGTTGTTATAGAGTTCAGTACGTGAAAAATAGAGAGAGAGGCAGAGAGGCTCGGCAGAGAAAAGAAAGAAATGCTGAGAGAGGGAGAAGGACAAGCCGAAACCAAAGGGGAAGGAAAAGGCTGTGCTTGGGTGGAAACCGGACCAAGAAGAGTAGACGACGGCAACTCGAAGGCTGCCGGCGTTGGAGAAGAAGACCGGAGAAGAAAATGTTGGTTTTTGATCCAAAAACTTAAGGCAAGTTCTATGTTATACTCTTCTCCTTAGCATTGTTATTCTATACATCTTTAGTTGGCTTTAGGGATTTTAAACAGAAGAATTAAACCTGTTTGCGTGCTGTAAATTGGATTGAAAGTGATGTGTATGTGTGTGTGTATATATGTATATACAATGTTGAATCTTGAGAATTAACATGCTAAATATATGTTCTACTTGCTTCAATCGTGTAACCATGCTCGATAATAATTATTGGGACGATATGGTACTTAGAGTGCATGATTAGGACCCTTAACGGAGGAGAACGGACTAAAAACAGAGGCCCGAGTCGGAGAAGACGACCTCCAGGTAGAGTCAGCCGATTGACTCAGAGAGTCAGCCGACTGATTTCACCTGTTCCTTGTGTATTGCTATTGTTGATTCCAGATTTTGTTCTGGTCCATTTTAATTAAATTAATTGAGATTAATTAATATGGTAATTTCCCGGTATGCATAATATACCTTAATATGCTAAGATATGGAAGGGTAATGGATTTTAAATGATTTATAAGTTGTTTATATGGTTTATAATTGTTATAACAATTGCAATAGATTGTAATATCATTATAATCATGCTTATTATTGTATTTATGATCTTAGACATGATTTGTTTCAACTGTTCTGCCATGGTTAGATATGGGCTCCTTGACATTTATACCATTGTTATATATGGTTTTGATAATTTGATGAGTAGGTGAGTTGGCTAGTAAGTCTAGTCAGGCTACATTGTGCCATTGTTAAATATGGTTCTGTTAATGATGTTATTACGTTATATATATGTATTGCCCTGATACGAGTTGATTCGTGTCTCGGGATCAGTGGTTAGGACGGAGGCGTATATTGTCGGAAATGAATAATTGGATATAAGAAATGTGTGGGGCCTATGGGCCCTGGTAAAGGGGGACTTTTGACCACCTTGCGTGTTATTTTTCATGAGATACCTACTATCCGGTTGAAACTGCCATATATTTCAGTGAGCATCTTAGTGTGTATATGTATGTATGAACTATGTTGTTATGGCATGAGTTTAATTAGGGATGTATCATTTATTAGTTCTTTGATTGGGTTGCAGTAGAAAAGACTTGCTCGTGGGTCTAATCCACTATTTTATTTTTTACCGGCGGTCATGAACAATTTTTTCATTCAGATGAGAGCCCTCCATCTTCACTCTTCCGGAGTCATTGACGCAGGATATTATCTTTATTTATTTGTTTTATTTATATGTTTTAGTAAGGGTCTTTCACTTATAGATTTTGGAGTTGTATTACTTTGATTATGGAGTTGATTATTGAATTTATTTGGAGGTAATGGTATCGGAGGAATTATTTATTTATTAAATTATTATTTAGTTTTATTTCGTGCTTGTTTTAAATGTTAATTGTTTGATATTTCCTAATCTTTGGGCAAGAACTTGATCCCAACCCGTGTTCGGAAATTGGGGTACCACAAAGGTCTCGTAAGTTGATAAAAACATTATATTTAACTCTCAACTTCAGATGGGAAGGTATTGTGAGATTCGTCGTCATTGAAAACATATACGACTCACAGTTTTTATTTTTATATTTTTGGAACAGTAAAGCAAATTTATATAAGCATGTAAGGAAGTGTACTAATCCCGATCAGGGCCTAACGGGCCATCAATCACGTAAAAAATTGTCAAAGCAAACTGAAATAAACAAGCCTCAAAACAGCAGCCCAACACAACACAAAAACAATGTGTTAAAAAATAGCCCTGTTATCAATGGATATTCCGAGCATCTCCGGTGACAATCGACAAGGCGAGAAGAAGTTGAGTAAGACAATCCGTGAACTTTCATTCCTTTCCTTCAATCTTTCAGGAGTTAATGGTGGAGGTCGCACGGACATGCGGTGGTGATGGTGAAAGGAAAGAGTGTGTTTCAAATTGTATATTTTAATGAGGTTTACTTTATTCAAGCTCTAATTTAATAGCAACAATAGTTATAAGGTCCATGATTTTCACCGGAGCCCTTTTTGGGTCAGATGGCGATTCAGTCCAAACTATCTTTTGTGGTTTGTTCTTCTGCTCCCCCAAAGGTTAGAGAGTCTCTGGCTATGGAGGGTTGTCCTGTTTTTTAGTTTTTTCGTTCTCTGTTTGTTTGTGGTGAGAAAATAAAAAAATTGAAAATTTTATTGAAAGAAAATTGAAGCTATGTAAATGAGACTTTAATTGTTTAACTGTTAAACATCACGAAAAATTAAATTAAAAATAAGGAGAACGCTCTCAAACAGATTCATAATGCACCAATATCAAATAAGTTCACCCATCTGCAATCTCAAAGAAAGAAGGAAAATACATATTTAATCATAACAACTTAAAAGAGAAGAAAAAAAGGGAAGAAATTAAAGAGGAACCGCCTTGTAGCTACGTTGTGGTACCGTTCTAAAGGTAGCCCATATAAGATCAATGTAGAGCGGGAACTGGGCTGCCGCAAAAAAAGTGACTGGCAGGCAGGTCACTAAATATACTGGAAATGCGGCATATTTCAACTTGTCTCTAAGGACAAAGAAGTGGCCAGCACAGAAAGATATTAGCATTGCAGTTATGGCTATGAAAAGTGATGTCAATCCCACCAACAGCTTCCTCGGCAACCCTATACCGAAATCTCTTTCTTGGTACCGAGAAGTGAGAATGGCGAGGAACATGATCATGGAGGTGACAGAGAAGCAGAGCGCGATTAGCGAGGAAATGGCGAAAATGCTGAATGGAGTCTCGCGTTCCAGTGTTGGTGTTCCTTTGCCTTCCATGACACCGCCCGGCACGGTGGTTGAGGTGGCAAAGGCTACTGTGGCAATGAGTGCCGCTACCAGGGAGCACGACTCGGAGGTGCTGGTGAGCCATTCGCCCCCTTCTTTGAGGAGTTTACCATGTGACTTTGTGAAGACATCCCTTGGAGTCTCTGATTTCTTGTTGTGGCGTGCAAAGAAATGCAGAGGCATGGACTCTTTAACGAACTGCATATAAACAAACTTGGGACAGTTAATCTCAACTCAATTCAAGCTTTTATTGGGTAAATACTAATACTAATCGCCTTTAATTTGAGATTGAAAAGATTTAGCGTGAATTTTGAACTACATTTTTTCAATTCCAAATTCAAAACGTTCATTTGGTACTCTCTAAGTAAGTAATTTTTATGTTGCTGATTTTGTACGTTGTTAATTACTGTCTTTTGACTTAATCTTTTCGGGGTTTGGTTTGGTCCTATAAAGCTATATTTAATAGGAGTATATTTTGTGTTTAAAGCTTCACACAAATATTTTTTTTCACAATTAGTGAGCACTCACTAACTGGCCTCTCTGTTTCTTTTTAAATTAAATTTGAACTTAATTGTGTGATTTATTTATTTTTTATTTAACTGCGTCTTATCAATATATGTGAAAGTACACTCAATTAAAATTAGAGGAGTGCTAATTGTAGTCATGCAAGCTTCACAGTTGCCGTTTGAATTGGTTAGTTTTAAATGCATTAATTAGTTTGAGTTTCTATTTTTATAGGACTCTACTAACATTAATTGTTAGACAAAAATACCCTTTTAAATTATCTAATATTTTTTCTTATTCTCTTCTTCTCTCTTCTTTTAATCGAAGATGTGTTATGTATTTGAATGCATTCTGAAAAAAGAAAAAAATATAGATAGGATAATTCATTCACAAGATATGGATAGATTTGGAAAAAAAATAAAAGGAAGAGGAAAAAAAAAAAAAAAAGGGAGAAAAAAATCCAAAAAGAATAAAAAGAAAGGTAAAAAAAAAAAAAAAAAAGGATTATATATTTCTTCCTTTTTTGTTTTTTTCCTATATATATATATATATATATATGTTTCTTTTTGTTTTTATTTTTTATTTTTACAACTATCCTTGTATAAATGGATTTTAAGAAAAAAAAATGAAATAAAAGAAAAGAAAATAATTCATTCACCAAAAAAGAAATATATACATATATAAAACTAATTTTGTATATATCTTGATTAAATCTCTAAATCTATATTGTTCTTTTTTCTTCTTCTTTTTTTTTTTTTTTTCGGATTTTTTTCTCTATATATATTTTTCTAATCCATTTCTTTTGAATGGATTATCCTATCTAATTTTTTTTTTTTTTTTTCAGCATCCATTAACATCACATTAGTTATTATTATTACTATTATTATATATACATTGAAGATGTAAGAAATTCATTTTTTCTTTCTCTCTCTAGAACTCTTACACTTCAACAGAAAAAATCCCCCTCCTCCATCCATTACTCCTCCTATTTATAGATACTTACAAACATTAATGGACTGCTAGATCTGGGCCCGTTCCTCTGTGAGTTTTGGTCATCTTTGATGGGCTATTCGCATTCGACCCATATGGCAGTATTTCTCTATGGGCTTGATCCATCTGCACGGACCGGATGTTGTGTTCGCGGGTCATATCCGGCCCATGTCACTTCTGGCCTCCTCAACTACCCCCATAATTACTCCTTGTTTAATAAGGGGGTAATTATTAAAAGCGTCTCATCATGATGCTGACGGCTCGAGAAACCCTTATGGGGGAACGGACGGTCGGATCCAGAATCAATGTTCTGGGGTTCGATAAATTTCTCACCTCCCTGACGCTTCGGCCCTCGGATCCACTTCGCCTTTATAAGGCTCTAGAATGCCACTTCATGCCTTTTTACCGTCTCCATCATCAGTCAAATCTCTCGCTCATCTTTTTAGAACAGTGCTAAATTTCATCCGGTGAAATTCTTCAAGAGTCATTCTTCCAGCGATCTTGCAGTGCTCTTTGTTGCTTTCTACCCCAGAGGTTAGTTTTGTTCCTTTTTACTTTCGGCAGACTTCTTTTTACCCTTTTAGATCCTTCAATCGCTTCCACCATGGTTATAGATCTAGATGTTCTTCGTATGAGACTTAAACTTCCTGACAACATCCAAGTTAGGGTTTGCCCTAAGGATGTTAATATTATGACCGGTGCCGGCCTTCTTCCCGGCGAGGTTTTATTTACTAACCTTCAACTGAATGTCGTTAGGTTCCCTCTGCATCCCTTCTTTAACTATGTTTTCAATAGACTGGGGATATCCCTCCTGCAGGTAAACCCCAATTTCTTTAGAATCATATCCGTTATGTTACTGTTGATTCGTGACAGAAGTCTGGACCTTGACCTCATAGATCTTCTTCTTTGCTATAAGGTCAGTAAGATCCGAACTGACGAGCCATTCTACCACCTCTACCTGATCGACAAGATGTCCATATGTACGAATACAATTAAATCTGAAAAGGGTTGGAGGGATAACATTGTGGGTGTTAGTGGGGCCTGGTCTTCGCCGGCTGCAGAGGATTACCTAATCCCGAGCGCCTTTGGCGTCTGTTCTGTCTCCTCATATAAGAAATTCAAATCTCATAAAAATGATTGTCCCTGCGAAACATGTGTTCCTCGCTTTTGTACTTTCTTATGTCGCTCCTTAGGCATACCTTGTGATGACTTGAGCTACAGTGTTTGCAGGGATAGGAGTAATTACTTGAAGAAATACGTTCTGAACGATATTCCTTTTTGCTCAGACCTCCTCACTTCAGACAACCTTCTAGCGCTCTCATCCCTGGGCTATACCATGAGCAGGCTTCAGATTCCTTCCTTCGGTAGGAGGAAAAATCCTCCCCCAGCCACTTCTGCTGCTGGAGCAACCTCCTCTCCTGCATCAGCCTCTTCTTCAGCCACCATCTTTGACACCATCCCGAGTACGGTGGCCATTGATCCTGTTGTCAGCACCCCTGCTACCAACCCGAGCACATCTCCACAAATCACTACTACCCCTGCTGCCGCTGGGGGTGCTCGGGACAAATAACGAGGCAAAAGACCTTATCCTGACGGTGGAGTCAACCTTGAGGAGGAACCTCTTATAAGAAGGACCCGAGTCTCTGGGCCGAGCGCTCTCTTGCATCGCCCAGTCAGAGCTCCTGCCCCCTCCGGGCCTGTTGCAGCTGGTGCCTTTGCTTCTGCTTCAGCTTCTCCTTCTATTCCTGTTTTACCACCATGGGCTCCCCGGTACACCCGAACGGATGGGACGTTCGTGAAGCCGAACGAGACCATGTTGAAGGATGGCCAGACCGCCATGGCGTATTATAGGAGCATGTGAACTCTGAAAGACCTTGAGGCGGCGAAGGGTCTGTCCCAAAAGGATGTGTTCAGCCGCTTTCCCCAATCTGCCATGGAGGTGACTTTTATTTTCTAACTCATGAATCCTCTCATACTATTTGCTCTTGCCTTCGTCCGACCAGGCGATCGGTTTAACCAGTATTCATGTATATCTATGCAGACTTTGTTCGGTATGATGGCTATGCAGAAACAGGTGGAAATGGGGAACGCCAGGGCCCGTAAGTTCTCTGATAGCCTGGATGTGGCTAATAAGGAAAATGACCTTCTTGCCAGCAAGAACACCGAGATATTGGCTCGGCTTGAAGAAACCGAAAAAGAAAGAGATGTTCTGAAGAAGGAAAACGACTCTCTTCAGGATGAGAAGGATGCCCTCCAGCTTGAGAAGAGTGTCTGGCAGACTGAACGTGATTCAATCAGAGATGAAAAGGCAGAGCTCCAGCGCCTTCTGGCTGATGAACAGTCTGCTCGGATGGCTTTTGAGAAAAGAGCTCTGGACGAGCGCAACGCTCTGATTGATACCATCAGCAGAGTGAATGGTGGAATGCTGGCTCTTCATGCTCCGTTCTCAAGAGTTGGAGCTCTTAGATATGCTCAGGGATTCCGAGATGGTTTCTCCGACCGAGTTCCGGCTGAGGGCCAGACCAGCTCAACTCCGGATGAGTTGATAAGGATTTAGGGATTGACCCTCTGGGGGTCTATGTTGACCCAGAACCCACCGAAGCCGAGCACATATTTGATGAATGTCAGGAGATTGCTTCCTCCAGGATCACTACAGCTCCTCCTACCCTTCAGCCTCTAATCGCTCTTCATTCGTCAACTGTGGTATCTCCCATAGTCACTGCTGACGTTGGCCCCCAGCAGAACGACTCTATTATTCATCTTGATTCCCCACCTCATGAGGGGGAGATGGCTGACGGGAACGAGGAGGCGGATCAGCACAACCAGGAGGCTGTCGGTACTGAGGCAGCCAGCTAGGACTCCTCCAGACTCTTCGATTCCATACTTTTTTGTAGCTATGTGACTTGAATACTTCACTTTTTGTAACCTCAATGCTTATTATGAATGAGATGATAAAACTCTTTTTTCTTTTTTTTTTTCTTTGTGCTACGCTCTGTTCAAACCCATTTTCAATATTTTTTCATATTAACTTTGTCGTGTGCGTGTTTTTGGCAAGTGTCTGGCGTTCGACTTATGGTGCCAGCTGCCACTTATCTTGCTTAAGTGCCTAGCGCTCGGCTAGAATGCCACTTACCACTTGGCTTTTCATTTTTTAGCAAGTGTCTGGCGTTCGGCTTATGGTGCCAGCTGCCACTTATCTTGCTTAAGTGCCTGGCGCTCGGCTAGAATGCCACTTGCCACTTGGCTTTTCATTTTTTAGCAAGTGTCTGGCGTTCGGCTTATGGTGCCAGCTGCCACTTATCTTGCTTAAGTGCCTGGCGCTCGGCTAGAATGCCACTTGCCACTTAGTTTTTCATTTTTTAGCAAGTGTCTGGCGTTCGGCTTATGGTGCCAGCTGCCACTTATCTTGCTTAAGTGCCTGGCGCTCGGCTAGAATGCCACTTGCCACTTGGCTTTTCGTTTTTTAAAACCCTTTGAAAAGGAAAGCTATTTTTATAAATCTCAGGAATTTGCACATTCATACGTACTTGATTGAAAACAAACAACACCCAATAAAACTGAAACTTAGCTTTTATTGATAGTACCGCTTCAGAGACGTAGCATTCCAGGGCTTGCTGACCAACCTTCCCGCCATGGTCTCTAATGTATATGCTCTCTTCCTTATGACTTCTGCAATTCTGTATGGGCCTTCCCAGGGTGGCATC